GGAATAGGATAATGTCATTATCAAATACTGCTTGTAATATTTGTAGAGAGAAGCAGTATGTAATCAAGTCTCAGTTTTAAGGAAAGTTCTTAAATGATCACAAAAGAGAAGGCATCTTGATATCCCAGACTTAGAAGCTGATTTGCTGAATGACCGGCTTGGTAAAGAAGCCCTAAAGAAAGAAATTATGATTAACAGTTAAAACTAGGTAATAATTCCTAAATAATTGGAGAGAGCATAAATGAACAACAAACATTATTACCGAATAGGAGAATTATCATTCAAGTGGGAAGAAATGTAGAGCCTAAATAAAAACAAGAGAAAAAAAAATTAGCTTATGGCTTAATCAAGCTCACATTACCAAAGATTCATAAGTACAATTCATCCCCTTCAATATTACTAAGCTAATTGGAATAAATCTAACAAGAAAGCGATCCTGTTCATGTCTATGAGAACCAACAAATACTAAGACCAAGCTTTCCCTCCCCATACAAAGGTAAAAAGCACATGCAACAATCAAATGGTTTCAAATGCCTCCAAGCTAAAAAAATATCTAGTAGAATTACAAAAACCAAGAAAATCAAGTATAACAATTAATTCCATATAATCAACAAGTACACGCTAGGAAGTTGCATCAGCAACAAGGAAAAATGAAGCAATGTAAAAATACAATGTGCACAAGAATGGCAAAGGGAAGATTGCCAACATGCATCAATCTATACAGTCAACAATTAGAAGAAACAATATTTTATTGTGATAGTTGTTCCAGAAACAAACAAAAAGTAAATAGTGATACCTCTGACATGATATGTTAAGATATCCACAAACACTTGCAAACAAAAAATATATCCGTATGCTTATAGCTAGCTTGCCCAGAAGTTTCCACACAATTAATCATGCAAAACCCATACTGTGAACCACTTGTATACAGGCATGCAAAAAACACTTGCATGTACATGAGCACATCACTTTGTATTACAAAGTTCAACTCTATCAATTATCAGAAACATATTAATTCTTTAACTAGAAAAAAACTTATTGTTAAAGAAAAAAACTCATTATTACAAAATCCCCAGAATTAAGTCATCATCTGACATCTAATTGTCCAAATACCAACGTGTTTATAGGCAACAATCTTTATGCCTTGTATATAAGAATATTGCAAGAAATTGGGTGACTTAGAGAAGTATACTCCAAGATCTGTTGGCAGTTTGGCAATGATATTTAGGGAAATTAAGTAGAAAGAGAAAATACACAACATATTTTCTTCCACTTACTGGTGTTTCTAGGAAGGGAAGAACTATTGAAATGGATCAAAATAAGGAAACCTACAGACAAACAACAAGAATCCTAATTAACTATTTGAAATGCATAGCCATTGTGAAAGAACTAAAAATAAGGTCAATAGCTAACCAGTGATAAAAAATCCGAAGACAAAAAAGAAAAGACACATTGTTGCTGCGCAAATGTGTTTTGAATCACAAATTTACTCAACAAAATGAAGTTCTTTAAAATTTGCAGCTCTCAAAAGTTTCCCAGGAATTTTAAACTTCTATTGTTGATTGTGCAACTAATTCACAGTAGACATGTCAGACTTCAAACTTAATAAGGCCATCATGACGGCAACATGGGGTTGGCGCCAACACCAAATGCAATATCAAGGTCATACCTACATAGTTTTCACTTGTAACCATACAATTACTTTGGAGAACCATAAACCTAAAGAAGGCAACCCACCAAAAACATCATCGTCCACATACCTTGAAAGTAGGGAGACTTCTAAGTCCAGTTTCTGCATATCACTTGGCAATTCCTTAAGAGGAGAGGAGACCCATGTGAACCAAGAGAGTAAATCCAACATTCAGATTGAGTTTGGTCTAATTTCTGCCTTTCAAAATGTTTTTAAATAGTGCACAAGTGCACATGACATGAATGTAAAGAAATGTAGTTTATGACAGTAAAAAGAAAAATCCTACATTTCACAAAAGGTGCTAAGCAGCTTATACATCACGTGGAATGAAATAACTCTGGTGGATGTCCAAAAGCCTTTCAGAAGAAATCAAGTTCTCCTATAAATAATATTTGTCATATATGAAGAATGACAAGATGCAAAAAGACAGCTCGGGTTAAAAAGTGTGTCAAGCATTCTTTACTAACCGTCCTTTCAATATTGGACTCCGCCGCATGTCCACATCTCTCTCCGTCTCAGGCTGAACACTGGAAGTCTTATCCAGTGGATGTTCCGAACTCCAGCCAGAAATAGCATTAGCCAATCTTGAATTGTCAGCCTCCACATCCTACAGTAGTTTGAGGTAAAGAAGTATGTGAACCCTAATAATCGGAGAGGCTAGCTGAATGGCATAGAGAGACAACCACAAGTTAAAACAGAAAATAAGTTCAGATATGAAAAAGTGAACTGCAGATCAGAGAAGCTAAATACCATTCTCCTTTTATTCCCTTGCTCAAAGTCTCTTCCCTCTTTCTCCTTTCTCTTCTGAATCTCCTCAGTAATTCTATCGCTCTCCACCTATGACAGTAACAGCATATAAGAATACAAGGTTAAGAATTAAACAATGCGAGCAGCATAGAAGAATCAAAGTTCAAAAAACCTTTCTTTTTTTCATTTCCTCTTCTTTGGCATTCAAAAACTGCTGAGGGACACCACTGGCATTATTTTGTGCACTGAGCAGAAGTCCCCAAAGCTCCTTCATAAACTTTCCTGTATTCTTTTCCAGGAATCCAGTGAGCTGGATCTGAATCTGTTTACCATCTACCTCCTGTGTGGACAACTTGGAAATGAGCACTTGATACTATATTCAACGCAATGCATTTGTTGTATACTAAAATAATAGACACTAGTAATAGCATGCCTTGCCATCAAGAAGTCCATATACAAAGTTAATGAGGACTTCATCTTCAAAACCTAGAAGCTCGGTTACCCTGGTTGCAATCCATGGCCTGATCACATCCATCTGCACCTTTGTCATATCCACCTACAGATAGAGTTCAAAACAAGATTTTATTTTGTGAACAGCCAACAAGGGAAAAACGAAGATGTCTTTTCAGGCGTTCTTTACATGACAAATAAATACAAAATAATGAACAATCACGCTTTTATTACAAACTACTACAAAGTTCTTCGACAGATCTTCTTATCCAAACCACAGATTTAATGACAAATGAGATATCCATCGCAATCGAACCGTAGATCAACCAAACGAGCACTCACAGGGTGATCGAGCTCCGCAGCGAACTTCTGGCTCTTCAGCAACTTCGCCTGCTTGTTGGAGAAGCGAGTATCCTGCTCCGCGGAGGTACCCTAAAATCCACAGGTCAGGAAACCATTAAAACCCTAATTGACCCCCTAAATTGCGAGAAATTGGAAGCGAATCGGGGCATATGGAAGGAGGCGACCGGGGGAAATATCAAAGCCGAGAAAGGAGAGAGGCGGGGCTTCGCTTACTCGAAAGAAGCCGCCCGACATCTTCCTATTCGTCGTCTAGGGTATCGACGCAAAGGAAGACGAGCCAAACCCTCGAAGTCTTATCGCCGCGACGACCCGAGGGCTTCCTCCGTCCCCCCAACAGAAACCCTATCTTGTCGAGTCGAGCCGAGCCGATCGAGCACTGTGTTGATGACCAACAAAGAAACCGAGGTTTTAACGTGGAGAACGATCGCGTATTTATGATCGCATCGAACACTGTTCATGAAATAAGTCCGGCCCATGTAATAGTTTATGGATTATTATTGATGGGCCTCAAGTTAACCCACTTTGGTTTTTATTCATCTCTCGTCACCGCCAGGTGCCGTTAGTCGCGTGTCTTTCCTTCGTGTCTTCTCTACCGATGGCAACGTGAAAAGTGAGCTCAGTGGGGTAACATTACCCCCTTAATATTATCGCCCAGAACCTGTCGTAATCGTCTCGGCCTCGTCCTCCTCTCTCTTCCGAAGCAAAGCCGCCATGGCTCTCTTCTCCGACCCAATTCCCTCGTGCCCAAACCCATTCCTCCGCCGCCGCCGCCCCACGGCGTCGCAGACCCTCCTCCTTCGTCTTCGCCGCCAGCCTTCCCGATTGCGACCTCTCCTCCGAAAGATCCCCCACCCATGGTCTTCCCGTCCCGTTGAAACCCAAGATTACCCTATCCGTCTTCAACTCCGCTGCCGCGTCCGTCGCCGCAGCTGCGGGCGGCGGATTCCTCTTCCATCTCTCTTCCATTCCTCCCCCCGCTAACGGCGGCGGCGGAGGAGGAGGAGGAGGTGGTGGTGGTTGGGGCTGGGGCTGGGGCGGCGACGGGGGTGGCTTCTGGTCCAATGTGTTCTCCCCGTTGCCGGCGTCCGCGAACGAGAAAGAGCAGGCCACATCCGCCGGCAGCGTGGAGTGGGACTCCCTGCGAATATAGTCGTCCAGCTTAGCAAGCTTAGCGGGCTTAAGCGGTACAAGATCTCGGAGATCCTCTTATTCAACCGCCGCCGGACGGAGGACTCCTTCTTCGAGATGGTCTCCCTCCGCCCCGGCGGCGTCTACACCAAAGCCCAGCTTCAGAAGGAGCTAGAGACCCTGGCCTCCTGCGGCATGTTCGAGCGGGTGGACCTCGAGAGCAAGACAAAGCCCGACGGCACCCTCGCCGTCACTGTATCCTTTCTGGAGAGCACGTGGCAGGGCGCCGACTCATTCCGGTGCATCAACGTGGGCCTGATGCCGCAGTCGAAGCAGATGGAGATGGACCCGGACATGACGGATAAGGAGAAGCTGGAATACTTCCGGAACCAGGAGAGGGACTACAGGAGGAGGATCGAACGGTCGAGGCCGTGCTTGCTGCCCGTGACGGTGCAGCGGGAAGTGATGCAGATGCTTCGGGAGCAAGGGAGGGTGACCGCGAGGTTGCTGCAGAGGATCCGGGACCGGGTCCAGAAGTGGTACCACGACGAGGGGTATGCTTGCGCCCAGGTGGTCAACTTCGGGAATCTGAACACGAGGGAGGTGGTCTGCGAGGTCGTGGAAGGGGACATCACGCAGCTGGCCATCCAATTCCAAGATAAGCTTGGGAATGTCTGCGAGGGGAATACCAAACTTGGGGTCATTCGCCGGGAGCTGCCAAAGCAGGTAATCTTTGTGTGACTAATTAGTATCTGTTTTCCTTCGCTTGAATAGAAAACCTTCTGTTTTTTCCATTGCACAAGATGAAACTTTTCCTTTGGTGGCTAAAAACTTGTTTCATGAGGGTGGATGCTGTATTTTGAATAGGACATTTCATGACGTGCTGCAATACAAACTCTGAAAAATCATTCTGGTGGCACTGGTTTTCATGTTGTTCTATTGTTTCGGATTTAGTTTAAACAATCACCACAAGAAAGAATCAATTTGATATGTGAAGTCAAATTTGTTCATGGCCATAGAGTATTGTATGTTGGAAAAGCCCCCAAGTGCTGGGATATTATTTAGTAATTCTGTTGAGACTGCCTGAGCCAATTGTGAGTGGCGAAAATGTTTCTTGGAACATGCTTATCTGCCTAATCTTAATCTTTTCCTTTGCTTTTCTTTTATTTTCCAGACAGAGTCTAGACATCTTAGACTTGTGATTGAAGTATTCACATTGGTGAATCATGAGGCTTGAGTCATAACTCACACCACCTAGGAGAGAGGATCGTCAAGATTATGGTCCAGTAATGTGCATAGACAATGAGACATGATTCACGGTTTGCCCTGGCTGCGGTTCAGTTCAGAAGTCCAATCCAATTACACAGTTTAGCCCTAGCCCTAGTTCGGTTCAAACCAAAGCTGAACCAGTGCAGAACCAGAACCGAACTTGGTCAATGGTTCAACAGTTCTGAATCGATCCTGAACCAGGGTGATTCGATTTTGTTCCAGTTCCAATTTCAAGGAACCGAAACCGGTGGTTTGATTCGGTTCAGTTCTAAATAAAAAAACTAAATGCCCTTTTAAATGTTGAATCTACCCTTCTAATAGTTTAATAAACTGTTAATTGGAAGGGTATTATCGGAAATTCAAAAATAAATAAATAAATAATAAAATATGCAGTTCCGAACTGGAACCGCCAGTTCTTGAACTGAAATCACCTGGAACCGAACCAGTTCCAGTTCCAAATGCCGCTGAACCAAAATTGTTAGTTTCGAAATCCGAACCATCAGTTCTAGAACCGAGGTCAAGACTATACATGGATCATGGGACTTGAGTTGAGAATTGGGAAATTGGATATATACTGTGATTTGTAATAGGTTTGCAGACGTTAGGACAAGTTTTTCTGCATTATCTACGACTATTTCTTGATTGGTTTCAATTAATACAATTTAAACAGTTTTTAGTTTAAAATATTTTTTTATGTCAGTGACTATTTTATTTTTAAACAGCAAACACTTTCGTCTTTATTAACAACTTGCGTGATTCATTTGGTGCAGCTTTGAGCAGGACATGTCTTCAATATGGAAGCAGGGAAACAAGCTTTGAGGAATATCAATTCACTTTCTTTGTTCTCTAACATAGAAGTAAACCCACGACCTGATGAAAAGAATGAAGGAGGAATCATTGTTGAGATCAAGCTTAAAGAATTGGAACAGAAATCAGCTGAAGTAAGCACAGAATGGAATATCGTGCCTGGACATAACGGACGGCCGACACTGGTATTTCTGTCTGCAAAGATCTTACAATATTTTGTTCTAGGATTTGTGAAATTTGTTCAGATCTCACATGTTTTTTTCCCAATGTTAATGGGAAAGAATATTATGTTCTAGGATTTGTGAAATTTGTTCAGATCTCACATGTTTTTTTCCCAATGTTAAGTGGGAAAGTTGCAAGGATATTTCATTTATTCCATCAAGTTCCTATTCTTATATCAAAGACTTCCTATTCTCAGGCATCAATTCAACCTGGTGGAACTGTTTCATTTGAACACAGGAACATCAATGGATTGAACAGATCGATAGTTGGTTCTGTGACATCTACCAATCTGCTAAATCCTCAGGTTTGTGAATTCTGGATAATGTTTACAATTTTTAAGGTTCTTTTAACATGAGAATGAAATCAAGCTTCTGAATTTTAACAGAGCAGAAAGTAGTTATTCACATTTATTTCAAATTCTGCACATTCTTTCTGATGATGCATATCATTTATTCTCTGCTTTTAGAACTTTGGATATTTTCTGTTGGTTTCATATCAACTTGGAACACTTGTGGCATTGCTTTGTGTGCTCCTTATTCATGGTCATGCATGCTTGATTCTCTTTGTTAATCATCAAGCTGGTTCACATAGAAATGGTCTTTTCATTTGCCTTTTTGTGAATATAGTTAGGAAATTTAGTACAAGAGCTAAAACCTTAACATCGGCCTCAGCATTTCACCTTTATCTTATAGTTAATAGATATTCATTTAGCAGGATTTGCAGGTTTCTAATTGTGCTGTTTTTTCTTGTTTAGGATGATTTGTCTTTTAAGCTTGAATATGTGCATCCGTATGTGGATGGTGTGACCAACCCTCGCAACTGGACCTTTCGTGCTAGCTGCTTTAACAGCCGGAAGTTAAGTCCTGTTTTCACCGGTGGGCCAGGTGTTGATGAAGTTCCACCAGTGTGGATTGACAGGGTGGGCTTAAAAGCAAATATAACGGAGGTTGGTGTTAATGTTGAAGCAATCTGTTATCTTTTATATATATATATATATATATATATATATGTCTTACTTCTGCATTTTTTTTTAAATAATGTTCATCATTGAATATCCAGAACTTCACTAGACAAAGCAAATTCACTTATGGACATGTGATGGAGGAGATTACAATGCTTGATGAAACTAGTAGTATTTGTACTCATGGTGTCCGTGCATTGCCAAATGGTGGTTTAAGCATGAATGGGCCCCCAACAACCCTCAGTGGTACTGGCATTGACCGCATGGCATTTGCACGAGCAAATATAACTCGCGATAACACAAAATTTATAAATGGTGCAATTGTTGGTCAAAGAGATGTTTTTCAGGTATCTTTTCGTCTTTTATTTTCTTCATTTACATTCAAATTCATATCTTTGGCATCTGTGCTTAGTTCTGAATGCTGATCTCAAATGTGGGGTAGCTTTAATTGAAATGTGAACAATAGAATGCTTCCAGTGAAAGCTTCAGTGGTATCTTATTGAGGATGCATGTCTACACTGCTTAGGAAAAGCATAGAGATGAACTGGACAGTACCATACCTAAAAGTCAGTTGCCTAAAATTCTATTTTTCAGGGACTGCACATCTAACCATTCTAAATTTTCATGTAGCCATGACTAGCTCATTTCAGTACATCTATGTTCAATGCCTAAAATGATCATCACTCAGACCTATTTCTCAACTTGAAATCTTTTTGAAAAAAAAATTGGACTTTGTGCATCAAAAGTTGTATGGTTAACAAGAATGAAATCCATCGTTCACATCGATCTTATATTTCTTCTAATGCATTGTTTCTGCCATTTATTTTCTTTCATTGCAGTTAGACCAAGGCCTTGGAATTGGGAGCAATTTTCCTTTCTTCAATCGACACCAACTCACATTAACCTGCTTCGTCCCGTTGAAGCAAGTCGAGGAAGGCGTCGGCAAGTCACCACCACCTGTTCTTGTTCTGCATGGACATTATGGTGGCTGTGTGGGAGACCTCCCAAGTTACGATGCTTTCACTCTTAGATGACCCTACTCCGTAAGAGGATACAACATGGGCGAGTTGGGTGCCTGCAGAAACATCCTCGAGGTAGGCATCCTCAGTGTTATTTCCTTGTATTTATACATCTAGAACCTAACCATGCTTTAATCATACTTAGCTCGCTGCCGAACTGAGGATCCAGGTGAAGAACACCTATATATACGCATTTGCAGAGCACGGGAATGATCTTGGTAGTTCTAAGGATGTCAAAGGAAACCCAACCGAGTTCTTCCGTCGGGCACGGCATGGCTCATCGTATGGCGCCGGTATGAAGCTTGGGATGGTGAGAGCAGAGTATGCAGCCGATCATAACTCAGGGACAGGTGCAGTATTTTTTAGGTTTGGAGAAAGGTTTTGAGTCACATTACTGTGACAGTTTTGAGTCACATGAGAGGAGATTAGCGGACATTTTGTCACGAGTTTCTAAGAAATGAAGCTTCTTTTCTTATGTATTTGCATCTGTTTCAACGAGAAGTTGATTGGCTTTGCTTGTTCTTTTTTGGTCTCCTTTTCTTTCTATTTTGTATTGAGCGTAAAAACCCGAATTTAATCAGGCTAATTACATATCATCTCTTGCAGTTAGATCCCCTTAGTATTCATATCCTTAGAGTTAAAAAATTTATATTAGAATCTTTATAGTTTGAAAATAAAATATCTAGTTTCATTTATCTTAATATCGTCGATTTTATCGACGTAAATACGAAAATAAAAGATAAAAAAGCTAATTACATATCATTCTACATCGCAGTTCTCCATTATTGATATTAAAATTATTTTTTATTCTTTATTTATTCTTTATTTTTATATTTTCATCCGAAATGAAACCACATGTTTCACTTTCGTTCGTCTAATTAGCCCAACTTAATCATATAAAACAGTGAGAAACAGATCAGCGCCGTCAATCTATCGTCAAACGGCTGCGCATCTCAGATTATAGATCACAGCCGTCGAGCGGGGAAAATAGAGCATAGCAAATGAGAGGATGGCAACGCCGACGATATCTCCGTCTCTTCTCCTGCTTCCTCTAAGCTCTGGTTCGGTCTAACTCCCCCACTGACCTCTTCTGCTCGCCCTCGACGAGATGGGTGGACGTGGAAGAGAAGGTTTGGAGGAGATCTGCTCAAAAGATATCGACTTTGGCAGGTTTCAGTTGCCGCGGAGGACGCTATTCCCCCGGAGATTATTCCCACCGCCGCCGAAGAAAGCGCTGCGTCCACCGTCGTCTCTGCTCTTCTCTTCGTCGCCTTTATTGGGCTCTTCATGCTCACCGTAGGGGTAATCTCCCTTGCCCAACTTCAGTCACCACCTGTTGCCTTGGTGACTGGAGTCAAAAGGCTGCTCTTTTACCTCTTTCTGGTGACCAATTGTAGTGGTTGGCTAGATTCTTGTTTGCGAGCTTTCTTTTCTTGTTTCTTGATTGTGATGCTTGAAAGATGGGATTTTGCTTGCTTAGACGATGACAAATTTTGATTTTTTTTTTTTGTCGTAAATTGTTGGTTTTGCAATCGGAGCAGGTGATCTACTTGGCAGTGCAAGATTTACTTCAGAAAAGAGAAAGAGATAAATTTGAGAAAGAGGAGGCGGAAAAGACGAAGAAGGGAGGAAAAAAAGCAAAGGCCAAGGCGAGGACTGGGCCCAGAGGGTTTGGCCAGAAAATTGAAGAAGATGAAGAATAAACACGATATATGTGAGCGTTCTCCCTCATTCTTCTCTAATCTTTTTGCACTTAACTTGGATGCTTCAGTGATTTTCGATAACTTGAACCTTATTTTAGTTCTTTCTTTGTAGAAAATACCTTCGATGTTCATAAATGTGGTGTGGCATTCGCTTTGGCATTGATGAATTACTTCTTACTGCATGTTTGAACCCTAAATTGCTGCATTTAGAAGTATGTTCTACAACATAGTAGCTGGTTATTGTTGGAATACAAGAAATCTATGAAACCTATGCCGGTCAATTCTGAGTGAAGCTTGAAGTTGAATCTTTTGTGTTAAGTGGAAATAAGTACTCATTTTGATTCCTGAGAGTATAAACTTAAATGTGAAGCAATCTCATGGATTCATTTTTCTGCTAGAACCATAATTATAAACGGAGGACAAGGAAGAACAAACATTGTACACATGTAAAAGAAAACAGAGTTTTGTGGAGAGAAACCTATTTTGCAAAACCAGTAATGGCTATTTTTAGCTGAGGTTTTGATCTTCTTCGTGACAAGTACTAAGGGCTTTCTCCATTGTTGAACTTTTAGCATCTTCTGATCACTTATTTGATTCCATAAAGAACAAAAAGATACTTTGATTGAAAGTTTTGGTCTAAACATCCTTCACATCTTGCTAGCAAGAACCATTGTATGTACATGCTTCATGCTACTACAAATTTATGAAGATGATTGTCTCAATTTTTCTATTGATTTGCAAGAACTGCCTGACCAAGAAAACACATCGATCGACATCTTGACTTCTGTAATTGAATTATTTACATGACATCACACATGCTCCGTCGATGCACTGATACTAATATTTGGTATTCAGTGCTGCAATATCTGAGCTGACTTCTTTATCAGAAGAGAGGACACTTAACTGCTAAACTCCTTTCCTCTTTTAATGTTATTATCAAGTTTTTTGGACATCTAACATCACTTCTCTATTAGGTTAATCCAAGAACTGAATAATTCTCGGTCTTTGCAGGCGATTTAGTTTGTATTTGTGGGAAGTTACAACCGGAAATCAAGAAATTATGATGAATGGTGAGTGCCCAAAGCTGCTGAATATTTCTCCAACAAGCCACTCAGCATCTGAGAGAACTGACAACATATTTATCTTCTCCACCAGGTATCTGTAGATCATCCTTTGCATGAGATGCAATGGCACCATGGGATTTGCTTCTTCTTATCATTCCAGCAAAATTCTTTACACTGTTCCTCGTCCTCTAGTTTTGTTGATCTTTCTCTCTTCCTGCAGGCATCTTCTAGTCACATTGTGATTAATGATTTTGTAGTTGTTGTGCCATCATTATCTGTATCCATATACAGCTTCATTTTTATCCATAATTTCCTTCGGAATTCTAAAGATCTGTAGTGCTTGGCAATGAAATTTCTTCTAGATTCTAATCCCCATTGTATGTGATGTGAAAGGATATGTATCTGTTTATTTAAGTGAATGCTTTCTAAATTTGAAGTGTCTGACTTCTGAAATGAAAGGATATGTATTAATTAATTAATCAAATGATTAATAGGAAGTATGTTCATTCATGTTAAGATTACTCATTCGCGGTTCATATAACTACACAACTCCACACAATAAATATTTCCAAATGCAAAACAGCTTAATTGAATATTTGAGCATTTTTAGACAATCCCATAAAACTGGATCTATCAAGTCCCAATTGCAAAAGGAAATTTTATTTATTACAATTCCAAAAATATTTTAAGCTAAGTTTCTGAAAAGAAAAGAAAAATAAATTGAACATTTATCTAATTGTAATATATATATATATATATATATATATATATATATATATATATATATATATATTAAAAAATTAGATTTTTTAAATAATAAAAATAAATTTACTTCAACTTAATTGAGCGGATTCTCGGAAGCTCCTAGTTTTGAGAAGTGTTTGTAGAGCATGCTAACTTTCAAAAAAAATTTGTACAATATCCTTTTTATATGAAAAATTATTTTATCATCGTCTTTGTCCTACCTTCTCTTCCCTCCACCAAGGATACCGATAGGGTGAGGGATTGCGAGCTGACATAAATCCTTAGTCAGGCGTTTACCTTGCTTGAGGCTAACGATGAGACTGTTATCGCTAGCAACGAGGGCAAAGCATAACGACCAGGGATACAATCATCCGTTATGATATATAAATTTAAAAAAAAGGCTAAGAGAATTTTTGAAAGTTACAAAAAAAATTATGAAAACTAGGGACTTTTTTTTTATAATTAAACTATGGTTTTATTTTTTTATTAAATTTGCGCAACTTAATTACAAATTATAGAATTTCAATAAAATCCGGGGAAAAAAATTGACAGCTGTCAAGAATGGGATTCGAACCCATGCCCTTTCGGACCAGTACCTGAAACTGGCGCCTTAGACCAACTCGGCCATCTTGACATGTGCTACTTTGTCTATAATAAAAATTTGACAGCTGTCAAGAATGGATATGTATCTGTTTATTTAAGTGAATGCTTTCTAAATTTGAAGTGTCTCACTTCTGAAATGAAAGGATATGTATTAATTAATTAATCAAATGATTAATAGGAAGTATGTTCATTCATGTTAAGATTACTCATTCGCGGTTCATATAACTACACAACTCCAAACACAATAAATATTTCCAAATGCAAAAACAACTTAATTGAATATTTGAGCATTTTTATACAATCCCATAAAACTGGATCTATCAAGTCCCAATTGCAAAAGGAAATTTTATTCATTACAATTCCAAAAATATTTTAAGTTAAGTGTCTGAAAAGAAAAGAAAAATAAATTGAACATTTATCTAATTGTAATATATATATATATATATATTAAAAAATTTAGATTTTTAAATAATAAAAATAAATTTACTTCAACTTAATTGAGCGGATTCTCGGAAAGCTCCTAGTTTTGAGAAGTTTTTGTAGAGTATGCTAACTTTCAAAAAAATTTGTACAATATCCTTTTTATATGAAAATTATTTTATCCTTGTCTTCATCGGATCTACTGATAGGGTGAGCGATTACGAGCTGACATAAGTCCTTAGTCATGCGTCTACCTTGCTTGTGGCTAACGATGAGACTGTTATCGCTAGCAGCAAGGGCAAAGCATAACGACTAGGGATAAAATCATCAGTTATGATATATAAATAAAAAAAAGCTAAGAAAGTTACAAAAAATTTATGAAAACTAGGGACTTTTTTTTTAGAATTAAACTATGGTTTTATTTTTTTATTGAATTTGCGCAACTTAATTACAAACTATAGAATTTCAATAAAATCCGGAAAAAAAATTTGACAGCGGTCAAGAATGGGATAAAATCATCGGTTATGATATATAAATAAAAAAAAGGCTAAGAGAATTTTTGAAAGTTACAAAAAAATAATGAAAACTAGGGACTTTTTTTTTAGAATTAAACTATGGTTTTATTTTTTTATTGAATTTGCGCAACTTAATTACAAATTATAGAATTTCTATAAAATCCGGGAAAAAAAATTGACAGCTGTCAAGAATGGGATTCGAACCCATGCCCTTTCGGACCAGTACCTGAAACTGGCGCCTTAGACATCTTGACATGTGTCACTTTGTCCATGATAAATTGTGATATAATATAATTAAGGAAATAAGGTTATCGGGTGGTTTTCTTAACGTCAAACGAGGATCGAATAAGATTGTTGTTGGACGTTAAAGCTGACTATTCGGTTAGTTTGGATCCGATATTATGGTTCCCACGGCGGGACCCACTGGTAATGCCCGTCTGTCGCAGCAGGGCTGAAGTTAAGATCCGATCCGCTTCGGAGTTGGATTCGACATGCGTTTTCAGGTTCCGATCCGTTTAGAGTCCTATTATATCCCCAGCGTCACCTGTCACCAAATAGCTTAGGTGGCTCCGCGGAGCAGCCCAACGTGCAGGGCCGTGGTTCGCCGTCGCCTCTCGCTCTCCTCGTGACGCTCCTCCTCTTCCAAGCCAAATCGCTCCCCCGGTATTACTTTTGTTTCTGTCTCTTCACCTCAAAGATTAAAGGTCTCCAATCGCTATCTAGGGTAAGTCTTTCCTCGCGTTTGTTGATTTCAGATTGGTGTTCTCGCATCTTCTCGATGCTTCTAGGGTTTCTGCTGCAAAGCTTTAGGGATCTTGGAATCCTAGATCTGTCTACCTCGATGGTGTCCCTTTAACCATTCCTTGGATCGATAAATCTTTGGGAATCCGGATCTAGGATCTTGTAGATGTCAAATTTCGTCAGAAAATTCCAATCTTGGAAAGACCTAGTGTGTTTCGTCCCTGTCGTGAATGTGTTCTCCTCTATTACGGACGGTTCGACCTCGCATATCGATTCTCGCTGATGCAGTTGCGTTTTCTTGATTATTTGAAGGGCAAGAGGTCGTTTTGAGGTGATCATTAGCCACTGCAATCATGAGTTATTTTTTCCGGGGGAGTCGGGCGGACATCGAAAGCGGCTTGCCTGGATTTATACCGGATAGGCGACCGGTGGTATTGTTCTTGAATTATCTGTTTGAAGTGCATTCTTCTTTTAATTATGGTTTTTTTGCTTATTGACTATTTGTTGTGTTTTGGTCATAGCGAATGCATGCGGGAGTTCGTCCTGTTAATAACAATTCGATGGCTTTTCTCGTAACCGGTATGTCTCGAATTGTTTGATGATGGGGCTTTCCTGTTCTTCTATCTGGTTTCAGATACGTGGCTCCTAATTTCATGTGCATGATTGATATTGCAGTCCTTGTGCTGTTCATGATATTGAATTCACATCAGATGTCACCCAACTTTCTGGTAATTCCTAATGGCGGGATTCTTTATATGTGTATCTTCATTTCTTAGTTAGTATCTTTTCAGAATCTGAGGGCTTCCCTCTGTGGGTATGTTGTGTTTGTAGCTGTGGCTTGTTTTGGGAGTGTTTCTGATGGCCACCAGCCTTAGGATGTATGCAACTTGCCAACAACTTCAGGCCCAAGCCCAAGCTCATGCTGCGGCTGCAAGTGGCTTCCTTGGTGGCACGGAGCTGCGGTTGCATGTTCCACCATCCATAGCCTTTGCCACGAGAGGACGCTTACAAAGCCTCAGGCTCCAACTTGCTCTTCTTGACCGGGAATTCGATGATTTAGGTACAAACTTCTAAAATATTTTATTTTCCCCGGCATCATTGCCTGCATTGACAATGATGAAGCTTTATGACTTTGCTTGATCTTAGCTCTCCCATTTTCCTTGTTCTTCATTTTCGTTATTACACTTTCTCTTTTGCCTATGGTAAATCTTGCTACTCAGCTTCTTTCGTTTACTATTTTTCAGATTATGATGCTTTAAGAGCACTGGATTCTGATAATCCTCCTGATGCTCCTTCGATGACCGAGGAAGAGATCAATTCGCTACCTGTACACAAATACAAGCTTCAATCCTCCAATCGGCAAAGGCAAGATCCAATTCTTTACCTGTACATAGGCTTTGTTTTTTCAAAGTTTTCATTTTTTAATATCTTTCGGTTACAACAAATTATCCTCTTTTTAATTGAAGAGATTTGATTGTGCTTGGGCAGTGGTGGATCAGTTCTGCAACATGCATCGTCTTCTTCAATATCTGCAACTGAGGTAGTCCTTTACAATCCCTTTGTTTTTTTCTTTATCCTTGAAAATGCTGTGCTATTATCTCTTGCATTACGGAATATTCAGGGGTTTATTGTTTTTGCTTGTTCTTAATTTTTCAACCTGGCCCTTCAGTTAGATAATATGAATTACGAATTAAACATGGAGTATCTACAAAGTTTAGTATTTAATTTAATATATTCCTTGAAACTTACTATTGGATATGTCACTAAGTTGTTTTGTTTTCTGTTAGTTATCCTGCCAGAAAATAATTGTGTTATTTATTACACTGTTTTTCTCGGTATACTATCCATCATAGAAAATTTGGACTTGTCCTTTTCTTGAGTGTTTCTATGGATAATTAGCACACTGTTGAACTATTTTTGGATTGGAAAGGGAAAATCTTCATTTAGGTGGTTATTTTCTTCTTTGGTTTAGATAATCACATGCTTTTGTTATGTAAGTTGTGTTTCTCTTTGTCTTGTAATGAAAGCTTGAATTATACAAAATATAACTTTGTGGATTTTATTTGATTGGAGTTGATATGTTGTTAGTATCCACTGGAGCCATGTGCTGGTTCTGGAGTTCTGGCCAACCCAAAATTTCTATCACCCATAAAGGTTTCTTTAGGTTGGAGCATTGTACTGAAAGCTTGAATTGTACAAAATTTCTATTAGCCAACTGAACTACTTATTGCATGAAATTTAGCAGAGATGGAAGAGAGATGATGTGGCTTAAAAAGTATCTCTAGTTATTGGACATGTGACTAAT